GCAGCTCGGATTTGTTATTACATGTTAAACCATTCTATGGAATGCGAAATGTTTTGTTGTCAGATTGTAATAGGTCAAATCAAGCTCTAAATAACAATGATGATCAACTAATTATTAAATATCAAGATAATTTAACAATTCTATTTATTAATGAAATTTCAGCTTATTAATTGAAAGTAGGAGGACTAGCTATATTTCAAGAACTTAATAAAAATCATTATAAAATTAATGATGCTATAAAATTTATTAATTCTTTAATATTTTAATATTTAATTAAAGTATTCTATTATATTATTCTGCTTAAGTATTTAAGTATTCTATCACTTAGTACATTTCCATTAAACTGTAACACACCGTACAAATGTAAAAACTAAACTGACTTCTTACCAGTGGCGTATTTACATTTTTTAGGCCCATAAGCAAATTCTAACTAAGGGGTTCCTACTAATAACTTTTTATACCCTTTACACGAAAAAGTGTAAAAAGGGTATATTAGGTTTGTCAAGATTTTCATAACGCATTAAAGAAAACGTCGGAAATACCATAAAGTATATATCTGTATATGTATTATTATCCATACCTTCAAATCTTCTTTTTATTTGATTTATGGTAATATCAATTACAAAATTAAACACTTCAATTTTCAAAATGTCTTCTCTTGTTTCGAATCTGTGGTCTGTGGCTAGCTCATCATAATGTTTTTTTATTTTTGGTTGTCTTTTTTATGCCCCAGTATTTTGATGACTCTATTGCTTCATTTTTTGTTTCATTATACATTGATCTGATTTTAGATATTTTACTATAAACACGATTTAAAATGCTTTTGGCTTCATATAAATCTACATTATTTTTTTGTAACACTTTTGAGGCAAAATTTATCTCTCTTAATATTTTTTGCATGAACACAGTTATAAAAAAAAATTCAAAATTTTCAATTTTTTAATATTTTGAGCTTCATTTCTATCTTTTTTTTTGTATTAACATAATTTAAGTCAAAGACCTAATTAAATCGTTATATCATACTTTGATGGCTACTAATGATAGTAGTCGTCCCGACCATCGGGTTGGATTCAGTTTCTTTAAGGTTATTTGTTATTCTCCTGTAAATTTGGAAAGTAGGTCCCATCTTTTTACGCTGCTACCAAAAAATGTATAAATTTCTTGAATTGTTGCAAAAGAATTTGCCATTTCTTTACATCCTTCTACTGCACCTTTAACGATTAGATTTAAATTGTGATTGGCACAATGAATATATTCAGCATTTGGCTGAATTTTTTTAATTTTTTCTTGCAAACCATTATATACCCCTTTCCTCACATTAGCACCATCATAACCCTGATCAACACAATTTTCAGTGTCTATATCAAATTTTTTTAATAAAGAAATAATTTGATATTTAATGCCTTCGGTAGTGTGGTCCTACATGGGATAAAATCCCAAAAATGTTTCTTTTATCTCAAAACCAATTGACTTTAATCTATGATTTGTACGCTTTCGGGGGCCCGATAGCGTTGCTTCCAGTCGCTTCGCTGTAGTTACGGCACTGCTTCTCACAATATATTTCTAATTCTCTACTGTAAAACGATTGCTAGATTGTTTTTAAATGATATCGGAAATCATATTACAGCTCGACGTAATGATGTAATGATTGACCACAATCATGCAATAAAATTTCTGGTTCCAAATTTTGCCTTGGGCCCGTTATCCATTCACTTATTCGTGCAGGCTCAATAACGACATCATATGGCATTTGCGTAATCTGACAATTATCTACATCTTGAACAACATAGCGATCGTTAGGCAAAACCTTGTGTATGACGTACGGGCCTCGATATTTTTCATAAAATTTCTTACTTTTTCCAGCAGTGTTGTCTATATTGTCAGAAGTCACTTTAGTTTTTTTGATATCCTGCATATAAATTTTCAGATAGTTCTTCAATATATTTATATATATATATATAAGCGGCATTGTTCTTTAAGTTTTTGTTTTACTGCTTTCTCTTCTTACAAATCTCAAATATACCCTTCTTTTGGTTCTCATTTATATTCTTCATAATTTCCTTTTCCTGCTTCTTATTCTTCTCATTTTCCTTCTTCTTCTTTTGCTTCTTCTCCTTCTTTTCCTTCTTCTCCTTCTTTTCCTTTTTTCCTTCTTTTCCTTCTTCTCCTTCTTTTCCTTCTTCTCCTACTCCTTTTTCTTCTTCTCCTTCTTTTCTTTCTTCTCCGTCTTTTCCTTCTTCTCCTTCTTTACCTTCTTTTTTTTTTCCTTCTTCTCATTTTCTTCGTTTTCGTTGTATTTCTATTTTACATGGCTGAAGCCTTTCTGTCCTTGATGGCAAACAGGACGTGCGGCTTCTTTATCTACACATGCCGCCTTATTGGTTTAACGACGGTTTAGAGTTCTTCCACCCTTACGGCCTAGTGCTACATAACGACCAGGGTATTTAATTGTTTTTGTGTACGCGCAACTTGCCCGCTTATACTGCACTCGACTGACCTCCTTTCATATACGAGGTTTCGCCTAAGTGTTACAGTCAGAGGCTTCTTATTTTGACGGCTCATTATATCTGCTGGCACATACAATAGAATTCAAGAAAACAATACTATACTTCAATTCCTTTGATTTTTACGTTTATGAATCACATTCGGAATAAAAATTTTTATTTGGTATATCCCACTTTTGAGTTTTAATATTTTATTATTTAATTTAAGTATTCTATTTAATTATTCTGCTTAAGTATTTAAGTATTCTATCACTTAGTACATTTCCATTAAACTAGTACATTACATTAAACTGTAACACATCGTACAAATGTAAAAACTAAACTGACTTCTCACAACATATTTCTACTGTAAAACGATTGCTAGATCGACAAAACGCCCAGTATTTTCTTTTCTTGGAAGAGGATGGTTCTTCGCTACTGTTGCTATCATGGTTGGGTGCTTCCGAAGGCATAGTAGCTGCAATACTGCATCGCAAACTTTTAGACATAGAGAGCACCTTCATAAACTCCGTTCGATTCAACGGCTTTTTGCTTGGGGAAATCATATTGTGGCAGTAAATGACATGTGAGTTTATAAACGAAATATTAAGCATGCCAAAAAATATTGCCATGGGCCACCTATTCGCTTTTCTGGAACACGGCATGAGTGAACACATCTGGTCGAATGTGTCGACACCTTCCTTTGTCTGGTTGTAGTGTAGTATAATGTCAGGCTTTCCAGAAGTTTGGTTTGTTGTGCTTGGTTCATTGCAGGTAGATTGCAAATATACCATCTTTGATGGTTTAGGCTTATTTGAGGCTTAAGTTAAGGGGCCATCAAAGCAAAACATTGTTGTGCCAACTGGTCGTGAGCGCGATTTTTCATTTGCTCAGGTGTTTCTAGCTTGTTGGATCTTATTGTTTCAACAATGGTCAACTTATATGGCTCTTTTAGTAAACTCTTTACTACTTCTTAACTCTTTTACGAAATATTCACCTAATGGCATCGTTGAAGTGGTTTTTGTCTTGCCCAAATATGGGATATGGGATTATGCCATACTTATTCGGCTTCCTAGGTATATACATTTTAAAAGGACAACGCCCACGAAAAGCTAACAGCTATTCGTCGATTGTATTGTAGCTTTCTGGAGTATAATTATCGTTTCACTGTTTTATTAAGAGATCCAACACCTTTAAAAAGTTGAACCTATCACGACTTATTCAGGCAGTTTGTTATCGTGTAAAACTGAGCACTTAAAT